TATGCGTGTGCGTTAAACACGTGGACGAGTATCAGGATCGTCACCCTGATGTACTCTATTATTTCCTTTTTCGCTTCAGTGTGGTGTGCTAACTCCTCAGTTGCCCAGACATGAGCAGGGCAGGGGGGTGTTAAGGCGAAGCCCTGCACGCGCCTGGTTTCGCGTGTAGCAGCCCTATGCGGAGTAGCGAGGTTTTGCATACCGCATACCGGAGCTTCGGTATTCGCCGAGTACACTCCAATCTGTGCACTTTGGTATGCACTGTTTAGCACTGAACCGAACTGGAGGGAAGTGACGACATTGCACAAACGAGTATGTGCAGCTGTCTGTTGCGAGCACCTGCGCAACTACTCCTGGGCAGGTAGAAAATGCACCTGACGGTATTTTCACCTGATGGCGCTTTCACCTGGCGGTGCCAACCTGGAACCGCATACTAGAGTAGGTGCTTGCACGTTCTCCTTGAACAACGTTCTCGTAGAATGTTCTCGCACACGTCACTATGCTTCTTAAGCCTGTTGCTGCATACCAAGCATACTGTTCTCCAAATACCAGTATCCGGTTTCCAGCGAGTCCGTATCGCAAACCTCGCACTTCACTCTCTGATCGTGCAACTCTGCGCCTAGGCTCTCCCACAATCGCCTATTCTCCGCACGAGGTGACCTGCAACGGACGACACCTCCAAGCACTCGTGGACAGCGAAGCATCCCATTCAGTATGTGACAAAGCAACCCTCGAACACATTAACGAGGAGTGCACGCCTTCAAGCTTTACAGCTACGATGGTTGACGGAAGCAAATTACAAGTCTACGGCGAAGTAGCGTTACGCCTGCAGATGGGTCCTCTTCGCTGGAAACCGACCCTACCTGTCACCAACATCAAAGGGCTAGACTTGATTCTTGGGAGAGACTTTCTCAAGAAGTTCAACCCCGAGATCAACTGGGTCACCCGCACGGCGAGCATCTACAATCAAGACAGAAGAGTTCCACTTCCGGATTGGAGCAACACGGGAGATATTCCGGAGGAGACTCTCGCACGCTTCGAGAAGGACGTGGAGAGAACCATGGCAGGGTTCGTCGCACTCGTTACTGACGAGGATGAAGCAGAGAAGAAAGCACCTGAGCTTCCGCCTGCTATCGAGAAACTACTGGAGGAGTTCAAATACGTTCTTCCTGACGACCTTCCAGACCAGTTGCCGCCATACCAAAACTACCAGCACGAGATCGTCGAAGAACCTGGTTCGAAACCGACCTTCCGAGCACCATATCGACTCAGCCCTACCGAGTTGGCCGATATGAAAAAGCAGATCGAGTACCTCCTAGAAAAGAGACTCATTCAACCATCGACATCACCATACGGTGCACCAGTGCTCTTCACGCCAAAACCTGACGGAAGCTTACGCATGTGCATCGACTACCGAGCTCTCAACAAGCAGACGATTAAAAACAAGTATCTCATTCCTCGGATCGATGACCTGCTTGACCAGCTTCGGGGAGCCACTGTATTCTCAAAGCTTGACCTGAGATCGGGATACTGGCAGATACAGATGGCGGACAATTCCATCCACTAGACGGTATTTCGGACACGATACGAATCCTACGAGTACCTCGTCATGCCGTTCGGTCTCACCAACGCACCCGCTACATTCCAGGCCGAAATGAACCATATTCTCAGGCCTCTACTCGACGAATGCGTGGTGGTGTACCTGGACGACATCTTGATCTACTCGAAGGACATGAAGCAGCATATTGAACACCTACGACGCATCTCCAAAATACTTCGATGGGAGAAGTTCTACGTCAAGCTATCTAAGAGGGAGTTTGCCTTGAAGAAAGTTCAATTTCTTGGACACATGGTGAGCGCTCAACGAGTACATGTGGACCCGAAGAAGATCGAAGCCGTACGTACGTGGAAGACGCCAGAGAACGTGAAGGAACTTCAACAATTCTTCGGCTTCGCGAACTATTACAATTGGTTCGTGCCACAGTTTGCGAAGATTGCTACACCTCTCACCAATCTACTGAAGAAAAATAGAACATTCACGTGGGAGGATGTGCACCAGCAAGCCATGGAGCAGTTGAAGACCGCACTCATGACCGCACCCGTCCTGATCCTGCCAGATCCAGAAAAAGACTTCGTTATCGAAGCTGATGCTAGCGACCAAGCAGTTGGAGCAGTCTTGATGCAAGACCAAGGGAAAGGGCTACAACCAATTGCTTACACGAGCAAGAAATTGCATGGGGCAGAATCCAACTACCCGATTCACGACAAAGAGGCCTTAGCGATCATCACCGCATTCAAGGCATGGTGATGCTACCTTGAAGGAAGGAAGACCACGGTTTACACCGACCAATGTAGTCTGAAGTACCTAAAAACATGGCCTACTCTCTCCAGACGACAGGTAAAGTGGATCGACTTCCTCGAAACACACTTTGACTACAACATCGTGTACAAGCCGGGACACAAGAATAAGGCAGACGCACTGAGCCGGCCTGGACACGTTGCCGCCATACAGATTGAGGGAAATAATCCGCTACTTAAGGGACTCTTTACACACATGTATACTATCGACCCCGAAACTCCCTTGGCAGAGAAGAAGAAATTGCTGCAGTGGGACCACGACATCGCACTACGCAAAGGATCAACAAAGATATGGGTACCCAACTACCCACCTCTTTGGCAGCTACTTCTCGAGGAGATCCACGATGCGCTCTACGCTGGACACTTCGGGAGTAACAAAACCCTTGCTGGAACTGCGAATGGCCTCACATGGCAGACAATGTGCAGAAGTTCGTTACTTCGTGTGACACATGCCAGCGGATGAAGAGCAGTAAGCAGAAGAAAACGTGACTTCTTCAGCCTCTGCCCGTCCCGGAACAGCCTTGGCAAGTGGTCAGCTTGGACTTCATCACTGGGTTACCACCTACCAAAGCGGGGCATGACGCCATCCTGGTCGTCATCGACAAATTCTCAAAGATGGGACACTTCATTCCGACGCATACAACCGCACGCACGGAGGAAACGGCACAGCTCTTCATCAAAGACATACGACAATGCTCATATCCGACAGGGATCCCAAGTTTATTAGCAAGTTCTGGAAAGAGCTCATGTCGCTCATGGGGACATGCCTAGCGATGTCATCGGCATATCATCCCCAGACCGATGGGCAGACAGAGCGCTTGAACCAGATTGTGGAACAACTCTTGCGCGCAGCGTGCAAGGACGACATTAACAAGTGGGACCTCCACTTGCCAGTGTTAGAGTTCGCCTACAACACAATGCGAAGCATTGTTTCCAATTTCGCTCAGACGTTTTGCTTCGCCAACCAAAATACGGCCAAACCCAGCATGTGAGTGTTGTGTTGTCCCTCCACTGCCTGGCTTGTGATTTTGGGTGGCGATGTGTGGCTAGACGTGCGACATTTTCTATTGGCTGGTCAAATGTTGTTTGGCTTTGCAGTTCGCAGCACAATTCGCGAACTCGCTCATTGGGTGTGCAGTGTTTCGGCTGCCAACTTTCACTCTCACACCCTTCGCCACCCGTTGAACCCCAACACACACCCCCAAGCGGCAGTGCACATTCCTGGGGGTGGTTTTAGGGGGTAATTTTTGAACACACCCCCAAACGCGTGCTGATTTGATTGCGAAGTGTAGAGGGGTAGAAATGTTGGTGCGAGGAAACCAAACACCGCTGGCGACCCAAACCTATTTCGTACGGGACACAAGACTGGGGGTACACTGTGAGCGGCAAAAACCAAGCGGAACGCGCAAGTAACAAAGGTGGAACAAAAGCCTAATAGTGACACCCGTCAATCTGATCCAGCTAACTCGCCGTGATGGAGCCGACTGGCATGGAATGGATCAGCCGACGAACCGCGCTTCCCCATATATTCGCCATGCAACTCGATACGCCCCCACGCCATAGTCGAGGAGGTAAAATTCTGAAAAAAAAAAGTAATTATCTGGATACAGGCATCGTGAAAGGCGAGTAGCCGCCAATGATCGACCACACAGACTGCGCGGCTCGCCGTAATCCCACCGACTCGCAACCTCATCGCTGAGTCTCAAGCTCGCACTATGTGTGTAATCCCATAGCGGCCTCTCGACTCCCCGGTAAATTCGCCGGGACGCTGCCTCGCGCGAGTAGATGCGTTTAGGCCGCGGTCGCCTCATCTCGGCACCGCGTATCGCCGCCGCAACGCCGCCTCGCCGCATTGCCTCCATTTCGCCGTCAGATCGGGGCCTCGCCTCATCAGCGAGTCATCGTCGCCGCATCGCCGCCTCCCCGCCTCGCCTCCTCGTCGGCGCGTCGCCGTCGAGGCGCCGCGTTGTCGCCGCCTGCCACCTCGTCGCCGCGACGTCGCAGCCGCCGCCTCGTCGCCGCCTCGCCCGCCAGCCCTCCCTCACCTCCACCGCTGCCAAAGCCGGGGGCAGGGACGAACCTGCTGTGTACCCACACCCGCCACCCCCTAACTGCGCCGGTCCCTCCCCATCCCCACTACCAGTCAACCCAACCTCACCCTCTCACCCGTCCTTCCATCTCCGCCAATCCCTCGCCCCCCTGTCTCCCTCATTTCCTACATCCAACCCCATCATTCCTTTCTCGCCTTCAACTTCATTTCACCCTGCTCCTCCCTCCAGGTCACCACTATTTGCCCTCCATCTCCGATCACGCGTGCCCTTACTTCCACCTCCTTATTTCCCTCGCAGGCGTCCACATGCGCCCCCGCACATTCCCCCCTGCCTCCGCTCGTTTCCCTCCTGCTTACCATCTTACCCCATCCTCTTCTGCCTCCGCTGTTACCCTTTTTCCCCCCCTGCCCTCCTCTCTACCCCTTGTCCTTTACTCTACCCCCTTACCTTTACTCTACCCCCTGTCCTCCTCGCTCCCCTCTGTCCTCCTCTCTATTCCCTGTCCATCCTCCCCTCCTCAACCCACCGTGTCACCTTCTCCCATCCCGTACACCCAGCTTCCATTCCCCCCCCTCCTTCTCTCGTCAAGGCATGTGCAACACAAAACCCGAAGCACTTCGGATTTACGTCGAAGTGGTAGGAGGGGTTGGCTTGACGGACACCACTCTCCCCCACATCGCGGCCTTGTCCTGCAAATCGCCGCCTCACCCCTGCATCGCCCCATCGTCCACAAAACGTGCGCATTGCAGTGGCCCATTGCTGGTGGAGGGGCTTAGAGGCGTGGGGGCCGCCATTGCACCCTCTCTCATCTCCTCCTCCACCCTCTCACCCCTGTTCCCCTCTCTCGTCCCCTTCTCCCCTCTGTCATCCCCTCCTCCCCTCCTCCCTCTCGCATCCCCTCCTCCCCTCTCTCAGCCCCTCCTTCCTTCTCTCATCCCCTCCTCCCATTGCTCCTCCACTCCTTCCATCTCTGATCCCGTCCTCCCCTCTCTCATCCCTTCCTCCCCGATCTCATCCCCTCCACCCCTCTCTCATCCCCTCTTCCCCTCACTCATCCCCGCCTCCCCTCTCTCAACCTCTCCTTCCTTCTCTCATCCCCTCCTCCCATCGCTCCTCCACTCCTTCCATCTCTGATTCCGTGCTCCTCTTTCTCATCCCTTCCTCCCCGGTCCCATCCCCTCCATCCCCTCTCTCACCCCCTCCTCCCCTCTCTCATCCCCTCCATCCCTCTCTCATCCCCTTCACCCCTCTCATGGTCTCCCTCCTTCTCTTATCCCCGCCTCCCCATCACTCCTCCCCTACTTTCCACTCTTATCCAGTCCTCCCCCCTCTCATTCCGTCCTCCCCTCCTCTTGCACACTCAGCCCCTCCACCAGATTTCCCCCCTCCAACGCACTCATTCCCTATCCTCCTTCCCCATCTTTCACCCTCTTATCTAACACTGCTTCCCATCTTTGACCCTGCTTGGACAACCTCTTTTCCCAACCCAAACCTAGTTGTTCCCCTCTCTGCCCCCACTCTTCCCCCCCCCTCCCCTCTTCTTTCCCATGTATCCGCCCCTGGTGCCCCTTATTATCCCCCTTGTCTCCCCCCTTCATCCGCCTTTTTAGCCCCCTCTGGTTCAGAGGTTTAGCCACCTGCTCCCACTCATTTCCACTCCTACTTCTCCTCCTGTCGCCACCTGCTTGCCTTCACTGTCCCCTTGCTCCCTTCGTGTTCCCGGCCACAGTATGCAACCACCTCGTCGTGCATGGTGCAGGTCACGGAGCTCGCCGCCATCTGCACCTCCCCTCATTCATCCACCCCCTCTCCTCCTTGCCTCTCATCCCTCATCTCTCCCTCACCTCTCCTATCCATTCCCCCACTGTCCTCCTCTCTCCCCCCCGTCCCCCTCTCCGACAATGTCCTCATCTTTCACCCGGTCCTCCTCTCTCCTCCCTGCCGTCCCTTCTCCCTTCTCTTCCCCTCCTGCCCCCCCCTCCGTTCCCTTTATTCCCCTCTCCATGCCCTCGTAGCATTTCCTCTGTCCCCACGTGTTTCGATTTTTAAAAAATGTTTGCCCCTCGATGACACCCCTTGCGTGCCTTCATTTCACCCACCGCAGCCCCCCTCTTCTCCCCCTGCTACCCTGCTCTCCAACCCCTGCTACCCCTCTCTTCCCCCCCTGCTACCCCTCTCTCCCCCCCTGCTACCCCTCTCTTCCCCCCCCTGCTATCCCTCTCTTCCCCCCCTGCTACCCCTCTCTTCCCCCCCTGCGTCCGCTCCTTTTCTCCCCTCTAGGCCGTCCTCAGTTTTGCCATTGCCTTTAGTCAGTGGCAGCCCCTGCTTGCACCCAGTCACTCCCCTGCGTCCCCTCCCTACCTTGTTCGTAGGGTTCCCAATTTCCATTCCTCCCCCGTCTCAAACCTTCCCATCCTCTCGCATCTCGTCTCCCCCTCTCTCATTCCTCCCCTCTCGCTACGGTTTAGGATGGGGCCAATGCCTTCGCACCTCTTCCTTGCCAAGGATGTGCGCCTGCGGGTCTGCAGACGGCTTTCCCAGACTCGCGGGCGCTTGCAGCAGTGGAGGGGGAGGGGAGGAGGGGAAGGTGCGGAGATGATGCGGGGGAGGACGCGGCTGAACTGAGACGCATGCCGAAAACTTACCTACTCGTCCATGCACTACCCCTCCCCACTTCTGTAACCCATTCCCGTCCTTTCCCCACCATTCGCGGCGTATCTCCGCGCATCCCCCTTCAATCCTCCCTTCCTATATTCCATCCCTTCCCATCTCTCCGTACCCTTCCCATCCATAACAACCCCACTACGCATTGTGCAGTGTGAACCCTTGTCTTATGAAGTCGGGCGGCGCACAGTGTGTGGCACCACACACACTCTCCTCCTGCACTGCTCAACAACCCCTTTTCCAAGAAGTGCTCCATCCCTCTCCCCCCTCCTCCCCCCACCTCATCTTGGCTCGCTCTTGCCTTAGGAGGCGTGTCTACCCAAGCCCCAGGAACTCCTAACAGTGAAACCACCAGCACTGTGGTTGGCTTTGGAAGGAGGTGAGTGTCCTACTTGTTTTTAGGGACTTCCAATACCACCACAATGCGAGTAGCCCTCCCTCCATACCAGAACTCCTACCATTGTTCCTAGACCATATCATCCCATAGGAGCCAGCACTCCGTCCTTCCACCGCTCTCTCCGCTCTCCCGGCCGGTGAGACGTACAATCGTCTCTACCTCACATCTCTCATAACCGTCCTCCCCACAACCACCCCTTCCTTCCCATCACTCCGCCCGTTCCTTAGCTTGCATTTTCCGTCCTCCCCTTTCTCATCCCAAAATCTCCTCTCACCCCGTCCTCCCCGCACTCATTCCTTCCTCTCCTCTCTCTTCCCGTCCTCCCATCTCTCGTCGGTACTACCCTTATCTCCCTTCGTCAGCCCATTCGAGGCCCCATCGTCCGTTCCTCTCCTCCCTCTGCTCCGACAAGGCAACCTCCTTCCACGCTCAAGCCATTACTCCCCCACGACCACCCTGATTCCCTCGCTACTCTCTCCTATAACGTCACCTCCCTGCCACCTTCACTTCCACAGAAACTCCCCTCCCTCCCCCCCCTCCCCCCCTCTCCCCCCCCCCCCCGCTTCAATGCCTCGACAACAACTCCTATCCACTGAAGTTGACGCCCAACCGTATGCTGGCGGTGCGGAGCTTCTTGCCCGGGTCCAGGCAGTCACAGAGTCTAGAAGCCCGGCTCATACAAAATTCATTTCAATGAGCCATTTCCCTATTATAGCCGGTGCAAGGATCTTGCAACTTGGCGGACCACCTGGTTGGTGTTGAAATGGATATTAGAATACTCGCTACCGGTTGTGGGGAAGGCCGCCCCCTAATATGTTCAAAGACAAGGACGAACGTGTCTGGTGCATGGCAGAGATGCTAGTGATTCTCCAGGTACATTTAGGCAACCCCTATACATAGCGGCCCATAAATGGCCCATGATCCTTGCTGAAATGAATAGTGAACTTATATTATACTAGCAAACCGTGCTAGTACTACCGGGTGCTCGTGGCAAACGGCCCAGTCCAACCGAACTCAAAGTATATGAATGGTGATAACTGAGGGCTCTTCGCCCGCATCTGAGTGTGTGGTGGGAAAGTGAATGAACGTCGTGGGCCGCAAGCCAGAGGTGCGGCCGAGTGCACGGCAGATTGGTGGGGTGACCAAAACACTGTAGGTCAAAGAGAGGGCACCGGGTGAAGAGGGTGGGGAGGATAGAGTGAGCATGGGAAATTTGGGATTTCTAACAACAGCGTGAGGGAGTGGGCAGGGTACAAGGCAGGGTGTGTCCGTGAGCAAAGGAAGGAAAGTGAATGGGGACGTGTGGATGTGCACCAACCCCTGGATCACCTCCCTCAGCCGCCGCGCGCGCTGCTGGCCCGCCCATTGCTGCACCTCCCTCCGGCAGCCATCCACCTGCCATCCGTCACAATCCACGCCCCTCCGTCCGCCCCATTTCCCTCAGCCGGCCCTCCATGTCTTGCCGCACCCTCCACTGCACCACTAGTTGCTCCACCCCTCTCTGCCGTCCGACCCCCCCTTACCCCACCCTCTACTCCCCCACGTCGCGTTCGCCTTGGTCGCGACCTCAGTAACGACTCCACAAACATAAGAGTAAGTTCCCTACCCCTACGCCACAGTTCCATAAAAGCTCGAAATGCTTGAGTAATGGGGGTCGAGGGGGGCTCCCAAAAAGGGTCTGCTAGAGCCAAATCTGGTAGGTCCTGCCACTGGGTGAGCATCGGCAGGAAGGGAATCCGTGGACCGGGATCAATGTCAAGATAGCGGGGCGTGGGGTCACAATGCCGGAGAGGTGACATGAGCGACGTGACCGTAAACACATATCTTCACGCACTTCTTGACAACACTCCTGACATTCCCCCGTACGCACCGTCCCCCTATTCAGCAGTGCCAACACACTCCTTGTCCCACCCCTCGCACGCACACTGCTTAGTTCCCCGCGCACACTCATTGGTACAATCCTTTGTGCCCACTCACGCTACAATCCTCCCGCCCACTCACCTTACATTGCTGGAAACGACCACTCACGTTACATTAAGCACCACGCGCTCGATACTTGTTCCATCGCGCCCACTCCCTGCGTACCTCCCTCCCCCCTTCCCCCTCCTCCCATTCCCCGCCACTCCATCACGCCTTCTATGGGCGTCTATAGGCTTATTTTCCCCGACCTCAACATTGCTCAATCCCCAGCGCCCATTCTGTCAGTATCACCCGTAGGTTGCTGAAACGCTCTCGCCCGCGCTCTGGTTGTTCCCCCCCTCGCCCGTTCGCTATGGCTGCTTTCTCGCTCCTGCGCTGATTAGTCCCTCTCGCGCCCGTGCGCCGATTCTTTCCCCACACCGTTTCTCAGCCTTCATGCTAGTCGTGTCCTCTCTCTTTTGTGCATCCACTTCCCTCACCTCTTCGTTATCGCTGCTCTTTCTCATCCGCCTCGACACATGTGGTGGTGGATCTGGGAAAAACAAAATCATAATACTGGCCGCGACTAACTCCAACGTGTACCGTGCAAGCTCGCCATTTCCTGACGTGAGCGACGCAGCGCTCGCGTATATGAAAGCACCTTTCTCGACCACTCGTCCCTGCCCTCGGTCTATTCCGTAACATCTAATCTCCCTCGGATCTGTCTCCCCGTCCGTCCAGTTCACAGATTAATCACCCGCACCGTCCAGCTGCGAACTCCTTCATACCCGCAAGTCGTCGGCTTGCATTTTCATACTCCCGTCCCGCTCACCTCATCGCTGTCCACGCTCATTCTCGCCCAAAACGCCGGACAGCGATGCGAATTGGCGTGTAAAACCTGAAATGGCTAAATAAAAAGGGAGAATAGAAGCAACTTTAAGAAAAGGGCGCCTCGGCAGTGCAGCCGGCAAGGTATAAACGCACTATCGATGTTTAGTGTTATGGCAACTCTTGACTGATTGGCTCCTTGCCATTCCGTGCTGGGTTTACGAGATATACGGTGGAGGAGAGGGGTAGGCGCGGGTGCATCAGTTTTGGTACACAAACGCCTATGCGTTGCCAAGTTCCAAACTGGCAAAAGTTTGCGAAGTTACTTCCCAGCGACAAAAAACCA